TGGACGATAGTTGTTAAGTACGGCTGGATCCAAAGATGGTTTCTTCAGGAGGGGTCTCACCACCACCGTTTTAAGTGCCATGGCAAAGAGGATTGCTGTGCCTCAGCTGTTTTCCACCCCAGTAGTAATGTGCAGCACCAAACTGGTTGTTAAACCAGTAGGATCCACCTCTAGCCAGGCCTTGGCATTACATGACCAAAATATGATAACTTTATCCTGGTCATGTATGCGTCAAGTTAGAGCTTAGGAGCAATTTATTTGTCTAAAATGAAACCTACCAAATTTAGAAAAATTAAGGCTGCATTGGACACAGGTGAAAAGAAATTGATCTGGCATAACGAAGAGAAAATGAGAAAGTATTCAGAAAATGAAAACCATATTTCTCATAGTATACTTTCTCACTTATTCAGATCTTTTAAATGGGAAATTATTAAAAATTAATTGGCATCTATTGGATTTAACAAATAATGTTAGTTGTTCCTAACCTGGCAGCCTCTATGTAAGTTTGGATTTTTATTTCTAGAATTCTAAGTGGAAATTATCTCTAAGTGGAGAGTTCTACTTGAGGAAAGGTGGATTTCATTACTCATATTATTGGTCAATTTTATTCCTAGTCCTTCCTAGCAGGAACCTTAAGTTATCCCAATAGCTAGCATCAATAATGGAATTGGATGCAAGATACTGGGGTAACTTAAGATTCCTGGTAGAAGTATTGAAAAAATTCAAACTATGACTGTTGTAAAGTATAATGAGAGCAGGGAGGATTTACAATTTCAGATGCATACTTTGTACCAAAACTGAATTGGAAGGACAAAATTCTTAACTTGAATATTTTGCACTGACAAATTTATCATTAGCTTTGTGATTAGCACAATAGCAGCTTTCAATTATAAAGCATCATGCAAATTTTAAAAAAGAAATTCATAGTTACCACGTTTTGTCTGCTCTAAAACACTGTAAGCTTGCAAAAGGTTTGCAAAAGTTTTCATGGAGGACCTGTTTCTATTTTTAAAAGAGATGATGAAATGGATTGCATACATAAATTAAGAAACACCATCAAATATAATGTTTCTAACTGGTTCCTTGTTGTCCAGTCTCCAAATTAGTTTAGTGCTTAACTTCAATGTATTCTTCAAATTTTAAAACCTTCAGGCTTGTGTATTAATCTGAAAAAAATAATCCCTTTTCCCTACCCAGACTGTTCGATTTATAGAGATTAAGCCTGATGAGAACTCAGCAGTTCTTTTCTTCTGAAGGACAAATTCATTACTACCATTTTGCTTACAGACTGACTGATGTTTGCTGACTGTTCAAGGGTTTTGTGGGAATATAGCAACAATATATTCATATGGTGGCAAGCACCCTGGTGGTGTCTTATCTCATCTCGGAATGTAAGAACTTCAAGCTGGGTACAGATATGATTTTCATTTTCCCTGAACTTATCCACATCTATAGCATGGCATACACATCAGAGTTAAGGAATCACTGCAGTGGTGAGTCTAGAATTTGATCAGGGAACCTGTTTCTTTCTGGAATTACCTACAGTTCTTCAACTGTACACAATATGAGAAAATAAACCCACCAGGACAAGATTCAGCAATTCAACTGCATCTGAAAGGCAAGGGTCACTCTATTGAAGACAGCAAAGTTCCAAGTGAAGTGAGAGGACCACTGGTTTGAAAGGGAAGCCACAGAGGCTGTCTATATTAAAATTGAACAGCCTCTCTCTCAACAGAGGGGACGGGATACAACACCACCTATTTCCAGTTTATAGCGCAATACTTTCAGCAGTCCCAAGAAAGTTCCACACCCATTTGCACTCTGATTCAGGTGACTCTAAGGATATAGATAAACCCCCAACTGGCCTTAATAACACTCAGTGCTAATAACCTGCTGACTGCAAAGAATATAAATCCTTCCGTTCCTCACCAGTCAGTTACAAAAAAAAAAGGTTCAAAGAAATAAACCCAAGCCAGAAAGTTCAGTTGCCTTTTGAAAAAGCACCTTTGGGAGACAAAATGAGAAAGTTCTTTCCACTTAAAAGTGGAAAAATTAGCAAAAAGTAGGCAACATTCCACTGGTCACTTTTGCTATTAGGTCAAAATATATGCAACCCACAAATGACTAACATTATATCCAGAAGTGTGTTCCTATTGGTTCAGACCAGTTTGGCCAAGTAGGTAGTAACTCAGCCGCCCACGCACCTGAACCGGTTCTATTCTTGGTGGCGCCATCTTGATTTTTGGTTTTGCACATGCGCAGAACAATCTCCATTGCGGAAATGTACATTTTTTTCTCTTTTCTAACGTTCTCCTCATGCACAGATCTTTTTAGGTCTAAATGCACATGCATGCAGAGTGCAAAAAAATTTTGCACGCCGAACCGGCAGTAATGCCGGTAGCAACCCACCCCCAATTATATTTGAAATGGTATATCTGCATCATTTGCACGCCGAACCGGCAGTAATGCCGGTAGCAACCCACCCCCAATTATATTTGAAATGGTATATCTGCATCATTGTCTAAAATCTGATATCTCTTCCACACACAGGAGCATAGCTGAAGTTGATGGCTGGGGTGGGGGTGAGGAACCAATATTTACTGCTGTTTAGAAAAAAGACAAATACTGTGAATTTTGCCACTTTTAGTCACATTATGGGAGGCAAAAATGATGAAATTCTTGTTCTCTCCCTCTATTGTAAAATTATGACTAGTTTTTTGTTAAGCAGAGCTGGAACAAGCATCAGGCTTGTATTTCAAGCCTGAAATTTGGCACAGATACACATAGCCTTGATGAAAAGGCTTTGTTAAATTTAGAGGGGAAATTATAAGCAATACATTGTAATCTATTGAGAAAACCCACTTTGAGGATTCACTTAGATTCCATGCCAAAAAAATAAAATGAAATCCGTAAATGCAGATAGCTTGGGCATCTGCTTAGAATTAAAAGGGCTTAATGATACCCAGCCTCGTTTCTCCCACTCTGCTCAACCTCGGATAGGTTGCTTCTTCTCTTCTGAAGAGATGCCTCCTCTTTCTCTTTGTGTAGTGATGAGGCAAAGGCTACAGCAGACCATGTTATAAATGAATATGTCATTTGAATGATCATCATTGCCACAAAGCAAAACAAACCGTGGTGGTGGTGGTGGTGGAGGAGGAGGTGGTGGTGGTGGTGGAGGAGAAGGAGGGGGAGGAGGAGGAATTGAAACAAAAATTGGCAGAAATTCTAGCTTATAAAATATATACAATAACATACATTGTAATGTTGCAAAGTGGCTTTTTTGTTTGTTTTTTCCCCTTCCCCATTTTTAGCGTTTTTAATTTCCCGTAGGCTGTCAAGACAATCTGAAATGCTGCAGCAAAGAAATCTTTCATACAAGTAAGTAAGTATGTAAATAAATAAATATACTGTTTATTTATTTATTTATTTGTGCTATAATAACCATCTATCTATGGCCAAATTAAAGCCTTAAAAATCTTCTTTTGGTGCATTTCCTACAGACAATTGCTTTCTCTGAAGGGGGAAATCAGCCTTTGCTGCATTTACCTTAATGAAGTGTGAACTTCCAAGTTGAACTGAGACTATTTAAATACCATCAGCACAAAAGTTCAGTTCCCTGAAGCAACATTAACTTGACCAATTTGCATTGAACAGCTCCTTTCATTTTCTGGTTAAATGGTATGATTCCAAAATGTGAGCACCTAGCTTTTGTTTTCTAGCCACAAAAGTGAATTGTCCATGGAAATTGGAATCTTTCCATGTTAATGCACAGCACAGTCAGTGTAACCTCATCCTGTGTCTCCCAATTTCTCGATCTTGAGCCTTAGCAATAAACAGATATCCATGTAAGGATTGTATGTATTCTAATATGTACGATATTTAGAAAAATATCTGAATGATGTTCAATACATCTGTTGTCCGTTGTCTGAATCAAAGAGGTGTCAACAGCAGAAGCAATGCTCTGAATAACCTTTTCAGCCTCAGACCAGAAGTGCTGCACACCACTATTAATGTCTAGTTTATGATCGGGCCTATCTCAATTGCTGACAACAGCATAATTTCCTGCAGAACAGGTATTCCTTGAATTAGGACAGTTCACTTAGCAACTGTTCAAAAGTGTGACCTCCCTCCTTCCCTCCCCCAAAAAGTGCTTATGACCCAGTGGTGGATTCCGGATCACGTTCCAACCGGTATGGTTGGAACATGCCTGGCATCACCCACATGGATGCATGCGGTTTGAGTGCACATGCACACATGCGTCGTACCTGCCTGCGATGCCTCCGAAAGCCTCCACGATGCTCCAGCTGCTCAGCAGAGCTTTGTGCAGCCGCCCTACATGCGATGTGCATGCGCGGAAGTGCCAAAGGCTTAAAGGACAGGTAAGAAGCTTGAGCGGGTGGGTGGGCCCTCCGGAGCAACGTACTGGAACGGTACCTGGTGCTCTGGGCAGGCTCCGGTATGCCCATACTGGGGCGTACTGCCAGCAACTGACCACTGTTATAACCTGGCCTCAAAGTTACATAACACAGCACCACAGCGGTAATTCAATCTTATGACCCCAGAGTTGCTGCAACATGTCCCATTCCTATTCCACCCCTTCCATCCTGCGCTGCTGGGTCTCCACAAGCACTGGACTGCTTTGCTAGCCTTCCAGATTCAACGTACTTCTCCCCAGTCCATTTCCGGTTGCTCACTTATCTTTTGAAGATCTTCAGAGTTCCAGAACAGGCTGACCCATGTGGCAGAAAAGTGGCTATCTTTTAATTTACTGTTTTCCTTAGAGCCCACATCTTCACCAGCATCTAAGTAAAAGACTGCTGCTACTAGGTCAGCATCCCTGCAGGTTTTGTTTGGTCCTGGCCTAGGCGGCACCGCAGCAGCCTCCTGCTTACTGCTTGGTGGCTGGTTTGAATGAGCAACTTCAGGGATTGGAGCGTGAAGGCAGCAGCGGCAGCCAATCAAATTGAGCTTGCAATTCTGCCCAATGAGACAAAGGAAACAAGCTCCGGGTTGATTGGCTGCTGCCGCATGAGATATGGATCGAGGGAACCTCTGGTGGTCGTAAGGAGGTGGCCTGTTCCAGCACTAGATCCTCCATGGTCTTCCCCACTTTGAGATATCTCATATGCACTCAACAACTTGTGCATTTGATTAACAAATGCATTGGGGAAAGCAGGGAGGGATCACGTTCATTTAATGTGACCCAGTTAACGAATCCTCAGGTTATGAATGTAATTGGCAGGCTCTATTACATTCATAACTTGAGGATTTCCTGTATAGTAATGTAAAATACATGACATAGTAGTATATATATAAACTCTTATTAAGAATCAAGAGCTGAAGTGGTGCAGTGGTTAGAATGCAGTACTGCAGACTACTTCAGCTGACTGCCAGCTGCAGTTCAGCAGTTCAAATCTCACTGGCTTAAGGTTGACTCAGCCTTCCATCCTTCCGAGGTGGATAAAATGGGAACTCAGATTGTTGAGGGCAATAAGCTGACTCTGCAAACTGCTTAGAGAAAGCACAATGAAGCAGTATATAAGTCTAAGTGCTATTACTACCAAGGATAACTGTACTTTCTCTCCCAAACTCAACTCTACCAACATATCTGAAGCTGCGTCTCCTACATAGGGATCCTTGGTTCCTCCAAAATTAAATTATCATCCCATATTATTGAAATTCTTTTTGCTTATTTTGGTGAAAATTTACTAATTTGCAATTGAGGCAACTTTAGTATTTAATATTTCCTCAATTGTAGTTAAAACTCTGGATGGGTGTAAAATATAACAGTTAGAGCTAAAGCGGCCATTAAAAGTGATGAAAAACTAGGTGACGTGGCAATAAAATCTCTAAGTGCTTATATTAGGAAGATCAACACAACCAGTTAGAAAAAGAGTGAGCAACATATATTAAGGAGCTGGATCACAAACCACTCTTGCCACTACAGAGTCAGAGCCATACAGATTTCAAAGGGAATGCTGTTTCTTTCAAAAGGCAGATACAGAAAAGACCTGACTCCAAGGTTCAGCAAGTTGTCACTGTTTTACCACTGAGACCTGAAGCAAGCCAACTGTTAGTTAGGCAGAAGCAATCAGAGAGAGACAGTCCTGTAGATGTCTAACCCATAAGCCACAAAGAAGTTTATACTGTGTATGTGACAACCAGTACCTTGAATGGCATCCAGGAGACAGTTGGTAACTAGTGCAGCTTGTGAAGTGGTGTTACTGTGCATAGATGAAACAAAATGCATACACAACTGTTTGTGTTTCTGCATTATCAAATAGCTACAGCTTATGTCTTCTTCTTCTTCTTCTTCTTCTTCTTCTTCTTCTTCTTCTTCTTCTTCTTCTTCTTCCTCCTCCTCCTCCTCCTCCTCCTCCTCCACCTCATCTTCCTCTTCTCCCTTCCTCCTTGACCTCCTTGTCCTTGTCTTTCTTCCTTCTCCGCTTTGGGTGCCCTAGTTCTTGCTCTTCTGGTAGCCTCAACCCTGTTATTTGATGCTGTTATAGTGTGTCTTTGATGTTGTCTCTCCATCTTCTCCTGGGTCTGCCTCGTGTTCTTTGACCTCCTCTTTATGTATATGCCATGTACAGTATGAAATCCCAAGACATCCCCATATAAAAGATGTCATTATAGTCTAAATGGGAGATGACTAATTCATGAGTAAAAATGAGATGAGCCTTCTGTTCCATGAAAGGTTATAATTATTACCACTAATCAATCTGGTTCCTAGTCCTGAGCATACAAACGGAAGTACAAGTAGTTACAGTGGAATTCTGGCACATGAGCCATCATTATTTTCCTTTTCACCATCTCCATCATCAACTTGGCTATTTTACTTTCCAATAATAGAATACATATAAAAGCCAAGTTATTCAGAAAGATACAGATGGTTGGAGGTCAGTAGAAGAAGCATTCAATAGACACCAGCCTTTGACTAAAAGCAATGTGCTGGAATGACTGAGTTACATTCATACACACATAGTTTAGGACTAGATGGAAAGAGAAGGGTAAGCAATACAGACCTCTACTGAAGTTATGTTATCATTTGAAAGCAACTTAACAAAAGGCAGGGAGAACTTCTCCCAAGTTTCAGTTTTGTATGAAAAGGAAGGAAGAAGGGAGGGAGATGTTTGAGAAGTTAAGAACCTCTATTTATGATTATTCTATCATAATGATTCACTAAAGGTAAAAGTAGGAATCTTATTATTTTCATGAAATACAGAAGAGACACTACAGAGAGTGATTAATTCGGCACGAAAAAACCATTGGTTGCCCTCTGACATTACTGGATGACATCGCCAGATCTCTGAGTAAGGGAGATACTCAGAGATGATTCACACCCTGGTCAGTGTCTCTTTGCACTTCTACCATTGGGCAGAAGACATCAAAGTATAGCCAGCCGAACAAATAGGTTTAAAGAGTTTCTATCCTTGGGCTGTCAGACTTTTAAATACAACCACAATCACTCCGTGCACACGCTACTTTTTTTCTTTTTCTTTCTTTTTTTGTTTCTGCTATAATTTTGCACCAGTGAGGTTAAAACCAATTTCATTCTATTTAAGTACAATGACAATAAAGATTATACTTATACTTAAATGTCTGCCCTTGCTGGATGGCTCAGGCCATAAACCATAGAACAGTAGGTTCTCAATCACAGGAGTAGACACTATGCACCTTCTCAGTTATTCCAGTGCAAAGATGCTCAGATGGTGGATCTCATAAGGACTTTATAACTATGCAAAAAAACAGAAACCAAGAGACTTCTTTGCTCCTACAGTATAGTGTTCAATTATAGTTTATGTGTGGTAAAAAAGAAATAAAACCAACCTTATTAATTATCCAATAGAGTTTTTAATGCATTTTAAGTTGCATGGCAGTTTGCATTTTTATATTTGACAATCCTCCATGCATATAAGAATGAATATATATATATATATT